CAAATCTGAATATAATATAATCAGAATGTGTATACCATACACAGCAACATTATCAACTTGACCACTCCATTTGTGGACCATTGAGATTTGTGTGTTTGAACTTTCTGCATCATCACCTAAAGATCCATAGAAGGATACTACCTTATTGGGTTGGGGGAGACATCATCTTCATTATGTCTTGATGGACCAACTTGGCTAGGTGGCAGTCCTCAGTTATTCCACAGACAGACTTAAGGCTTGCTTAGACAGCTCCATAATTGTGTAAACTAATTCCTTAAATACTATCATCTTACTAATAACTTTTGAACCAGTCCTGAGTGAAACAGATACATACATTTTTTACTTTCTTGTTTTGAATTAAATCTAGTTACTATGCCTTTATATTTCAGTTAGAAATGACTCCCATAAGTCTCTTTTCTAAGGATAAATTGATTGTTTATTTTCATGGCAGATGAAACTAGCTTGTAATTCAGCATGTTGCTCTATTTTGCTTTATTTTTCTTATGTTTCTGTTTCAGAAGGAAATTATATAGATAGATTTGATGGAAATCTTAAGTTGCTATTGTAACTTAGAAGGAAGAAATACATTTAATTAGCTGTTATACATGAAAACAAGAAAAACTGCCATGTCTAACTAGCACAAAATTGAAATTTTTAATTCAGATACATAATGTTTCATAAAGATTTATAAGTGGATTTTAGATATAAAATTGCAGTATGAAATGACATTACTTTGGTAGTTTTACCAATCTAATTTTAAGTGGTTGGGCAGTAAAATTTTCACAACTCTGGACAAAGCTTCCTAAAACTGTTACTGATATTCATTATTTCATCCTGAACTACTCCAAGAACTTCTAAAACTATAATATAGTTACATGAACACAGGTTAAACCAAATTGGAAATAAGAACCCAGAAGAATCAGGATTTGAAACTAAATTCAGATTTTAATTTAACAAAAAAGTAGTATTCACAACAATCTTTTTTGAAATGTTGAACATTTATTCACTTTCTTATTGGAAACTCTTTTCTTGGTGGTAATAAGAATGCACAAATGATCATAAATTCTGGTATTGAAATATTAACCAAAATGTAAGGGCTTATATTAAGGTCAGATACCACTGTATAATTAATTTTATCAAGCACTAGTACCAATAGATATTTAAGAAAGTATCACCATTTACTTGCAATAACAAACATGTGCTTTGATATTTTGATTATTGTAAAAATGAGTTTTCCATGTAGGCAATTTAGCAGGACTATGGTTGTGAGGATAAATTTGAACCTACTAGTTCTTAAACTAAAAATCACAGTAGGATAAAATGGTAAGCAGTGGAAAATTTTTTTCATGATATATACATAAGTAGTTTATGTAAACAAAAGCAACCATTGAAAATTTGAATATTCTTGTCTGTCCCCAACAATACATAGATTGAAAAATTATTTTACTCCATGCTTTCAATGAATACAATTGGCATAAACAGAGCAGTAGGAGTTCGATGAATCTTTACATTTTCCTCATGTGCTTCAACAAATTGCATACAATAAAGAGATGTCCTAGAGGGTTGTCTCCAAGAGAAAAATAGTCTCTTTATTAGGGTAGTTAAGACTTCTGAAAAATCTTGACTTTCAAAGATCAAATCACTCTCTGGGCTCTATTGTGAACTATCTGGTTTGTCAGAAATTTCCAGTTAAAAGAAAAGAAAGATAACTGGTAAGATCCATCATGAAACACACGGAAAGCAACAGGCACGCAATATGCAGATTTTCCTCTGAATATGGATTTGCCTATGGACTAGGAGATAATGGCTTCCAGTAGAGAACACGTATTTAGAGACAGAACAAATAATGTTTAAATGGCTATAAGTATGCCCCAGGGATCACCTGAACAAAAAATGAGGCAAAACTCTCAATAAAATAAAAATCAACAATCCTGGACCACCCCTCCCCCCCAAACTTCTGTGGGCCTAGGAATTTCTATTATTTAGCCTCCCCTGGATATGTAGAAACATTTATTAAAGTTTAAAGTATCACTACTGCAGTCTATTTGGTATTTCTCTTGACTCTTTCAATCACAAATATTAGATTAACTCTTTCAGAAAAAACGACAACACCAAAAACCACCAAAAAAACATCATTTCTGGTTATGTCAGTCAGCAGTGAGAATTAGTAGTGGTATTTCACCCCCTTGAGAAAATAGAGGGGAACAAGCAACATGCAATTTTGCACCTGAAGTTTTCAAAGGTGCACCAGATTGCTTTTTCTTTTAAAGCTTTCAAAGTGTATATATTAATTTTTTTTAAATGTTCAAAAAACTATTTGTAAACTGTCATATGCTCAAGATTATCCAGTGTAAAGAGAATCATGTTCAGTTCTGTGGCTAATTCTGACGAAGGCTCTGCATATAGTCTTCCACAGACAAAGAGCACCCTATAATTCTCACCAAATACAGCCCTGCTTTCTCAGCAGCAGAGAGTCCTATAAACTGCTCTTGAAACCAGGATATAGAAAAACAAGCTCAGTTTTAACCCCAGACACAAAAAGTCTGAGACAGACCCTGTCAATATGTTAAGATGAATAGAGATCATGCTGATTTTGCTGAAAGTTGAATCTCCAAGATCCTTATGAATTATGTGTTTAAAAATCCAGTTTGCATTGACAATGGAAAGCAACATATACTTCGTTACACTATCAGTATGTACCACCGTGTTAATGTCCTATAAGGTCCTTATGGACAAAAACAATTTTATCTGAAGTTAATGCAAATAAAAAATTAAAGAGGTAGGTGACTATCATCTGAAGATGATCCCCAAGCAGTATTTTAAATAACAGACTTGAGTCCCTAAAGAGCTATTTAACTCAACAATGGCTTCCATCACCTTTGCACTTTAAGAGGTGGGTTTTCCAGATTTTAGGTGAGATCATTAACCTCCCAGTGTCTTAGTTTCTGATACCATAGCACAAGATCTTCAGAAATTCCATTTTACAATATAGCTAGTGAAGTAAAAATGCAAAGAAATAATACTGGAGACCAAAAAGTGATGCTAAAATTATACTTGCTTGGACTCTTCAAATACCTGTACTCTGATTTGGGGGGGGGGGGACATAAGGCTGTTAGAATTGTCAAAGTACTTAGATTGTCATCTAATCCAACTCTCTTTGACAACTGAAAAAAAAGAGATTTATTTTTCCAATAACTCACAAAGCCCTGGGAATGCTATACATCCACAGTTAAAGTATGGATTTCACTCATGTGATAGCCAAGAAATTACACTTACAGCCCTGAGGGCTTTAGTATACAGTTCTACCCCGGCTGACTGATAAAATGTGTCAGCAGGAACAAAGAGAAGAGTTGGCTAAGTCCTTAAATACAACTTGCAGACAGTCAGCAAGAGAAAAATAAATAAATAAATAAACCCTCAGACATGCCCTCTTATTAAAATCTGCTCTAAGCTCACCCAGCTTTCTCTCCTTTCTTTGAGGGAAGCACACCCGAGTAGGATCAAGAGCAATTCCAGTGCTACCAGGACAAGCATGAAGGCCACAAGGCTGCTCTGCTTAGAATGTTTACAACACACACAAGCTGGAGAACAAGAAAGCTCCAAGTCTGCAGGGGTAAGACTTACCCACGGCTACACTGAGTTTCTCAATAATTGTCAGCTTTTGGTTTTACAAATTTAAAAGAAAAATCATCGTATTTCCTTATTTTTACATTTTTTACTTATTTGCAATAATGTTTCATCATTAGACAAGAACAAATTTAAAAGGCGTCTGAAGTGATTGCATGTTTTCTGTTTTTCAGATTTTGTGGATCAGATTTTTATGTCTTTTATTTATTTATTTTTTTTTTTTTACCAAAAATGGACCTATGTTAAAATAAAGTTTTCATTTAAAACAAAGCTGTGTAAAGGTCCCTTTGGACTATAAAATTTCTAAATGGAATGAGATAACTGCATCTATGGCACAGTCAAATAGCATTGTCTCAGAAGTTCAACAAAGGTTTGGATTCCAGCTCTACAACTAACCTGAACCAGGATCTTGGACCCCCTAGCGGCTTTGCTTTCTTAGTCTATAAAAAGCAAAATAATAACTACTTCAGAAGACTATGAGGATCAATTGATGCCAGGTATACAGTAGGTGTCCAAGAGTGGCAGCTTCTTTCCCCAGTTATTCTTGATAAGAATCCTTGAGTGAATGGAACTGCCCTGTCCTGGGCCAGCTACTCCCCCTTCCTTTCAAGCTCAGTCTCCACAATTTCTTCCTATTGCTCTGAAGATTCTCTGTTGTGCTTAGAAACATGTCTACATTTTTATGCTCTCTTGAAATTGTACATGCAGATAAAAATATTTCCTTTAAAAAAAAACAGAAACCTAGTTCCCTAGAAATGACAATGCACGCATTTCCTAAAGAACCATGTGTCGTGTAGTAAAACAGCTGTGGAAAAGTAAGACTGAATTAATCTGTACATTGTCTTTTAAAGTGCACCAAAGTAAACAATAATAACCTTGAAAATGTCACTAACCAACTTGGGTTATTTAATTTAAAAATTAAAAAAAAAAAGATGATGGGGGTTTTGGCTCTACCGTGATGGCAAAGAGCAGCAGTATCTTCTAGAGAAGAAAAAAAAAAAAACCAAATTGGTAAATTCCACAAAGCATACCTTAGCAGCATACAAAACACCTACAGGGCAAGGTCACTGAGGGCTCCGTAAAACGCCATCCTGATTCCTGCTACAGAAAATGAAATCGGCGACTCCACGGACAAGACGCCCACCTCTTCCTCCTACACCGAGGGAGCCTGGAGGTAACGCGTGTGCGCACGCCTACCTGTCGTGCATCCCTGGTGGCAGGATTACACCTGCTTAGCACTCTGCACACTGCCTGGGTGCGCGCGTGGGTGCGCACACACGCACACACACACAATAACAATAAAGTACAGAAGTCACGCGTGGAGGGGGGGGAGGGAAAGTCAATCAATAAAGAAAAACCCTCCGTTTCACTATTCACACCACCGTCCGGTGCTCACACACATACACGGCGCTGGGGCGAATCCGCCGCCGGGTGTGACTGGGGAGCCTTGGCAGGAGCTTGAAGGACTTGGGCATCATGTCCAGGCAGGCGTCGTGGAATTTCTTAATCCTCCAGTAGTAGATCAGGGGGTTCAATGCGGACTTGAGGTAGCAGAGCCAGAGCAGCCAGGTGCTAATCTCAAAAAAGTTGTGCTTGTGGTAGAAGGGCTTGCTGAAGGTGGCCACGAGGCTGTAGGTGGTGAAGGGGGCCCAACAGACGATGAACACCGCGAAGAGGATTAAAATGGTGGTGAAGGCACGTGTTTTGAAGCCCATGTCAATGCTCATCTGGAAGGGTCTCTGGAGACTCATGAGACCCAGCTTGCTGGCCTGGCTGAGGCAAATGCCTTCTGGATAGCTGTGGATCCTCAAGGCGTTGTGCCGAAGCGTGTTCAGTATGCCCATGAACGAGTACAGGATGGCCAGGAAAGGCAGGAAGAAAGAAATGAGAGAAATCAAAATCACGTAAGCCTGGTAACCGGGGTTGGTGGAATACCCAAACACACACTGCGGGGCGCGGGAAGGGATCTGCAGATCAGGGTTGCCCACGGCCAGAGGAAAAGCTACACAGAAAGAAGTGGCCCAGGAAACCGCAATCAGCACCTTTGCCCTGTACGGATTGAGCTTATCCTGCCTCTGCACTATAATCAGGAACCTGTCGATGCTAATGATGAGCAGGATGGTGACGCCTTCTATCACAAACAACCAGAAGAACATAGCAGATACCCTGCAGAAAAACTTCCCAAAAATCCATCTGGTTGTAAGAATAGTTACCAGGGCAAAGGGCATATTGAGCACTGCGAGCAACATGTCTGCACAAGCCAGGCTGGCTAGGAGGATATTGATTGCAGATCGCATGGCAGCTTTTTGGTAAACCATGAGGCAAACAACCAAGTTCCCCAGAAAAGATACAAACAGAATAAAGATCATTATCGCCGAAAAGATGATTTGGAGAGGCAGGTTTAGGCTCTTCAGGTTTTCCGGTGTCGGGGGCTCAGCTGTGCTATTCACTGTCAAGGAATTCAACCCACTGGGACTCATGGTTTCAAAGCTGTTTCTGAGCAGAGGACCAAGCCCGGGCTGCTGCAGTGGGGGAGGGAGCGTAATATTCGTGTGGGAATTTTCATAGACTACAAATGTCGTGTTGGACGCCCCAGGATGGGACTCCATCAACACTGCCGCGAAGACCATGATTTCAGGAGGAAGGGAAGGAGAGGCGAAAAATGGGAGTGCTCTTCAAACATTCCAAGACAGGGCAGCCGCGGTGCCAGGTTCCATTGATGGGGTTGGAAACACATTCTGGATAAAGGACAGAGAGTTCCATCTTCCACAGGAGTCCTTTTGCCTGAAAATTAAGGCCCAAACATGAAAAGTCAGTCAGAAATGAGATTTCTAAACAATATTTGACTTCTTACCTTTCCTTAATGAAGGCTCAACAGTTGCTCTTCTTAACTCTTTAAACAAAAAAGCTCGTCTCTAGCCTCGTTGGCACTAGTATTGCCATCCTATTGTTTTACTTTGAGTCAACCGTGATGAATATTTCACAACATTTATATATAAATGTATGTCTGCCTCATAAACCAACCTTCTCACCTTATTGCTAAACTTAAAAAAATACAGTAGCCTCAAAGCTTTCTACAGTATCTACTAATAAACATCCCCTGGTCTGATTCTTCTTGAGTATTAATTTCTTAACAGCTCTTTGGTACAAGTTTGTATTCTTATATTTATACAGAGCTGGGTGGCAAAACTACTCAAAACTTAGATTCCTATTTTGTATATGAAAATTACATTTATAAGGGGACTAAGATGTACTTAAAAGTACTAAGCACTTAGAAGTACTATGTTATTTTTCAATTGAGTTCTAAAACGTTTCTGGCTTCCTTTTCTTCCCCTTCCTTCTTTACTTTTCTTCCTCCCTCATTCTCTTTTTTATTTCTTGTGTTTCTTCCCACCCTCACTCACACATCATCATAAACTACAATAAGGGAAGTCCCTCAGGAGAAGAAAAGTCTTGGCCACATTATTTTTTTTCTTTTCCTAAGTTCTCTTTGCTTATATTCTATATCCCTTTTTTCCATTTGTTTTTCATCGTTTGTTTTCTGATGCATGTTCCTTTCTTCTCTATTTCTTCTCCTAAAACTGAACTTGTATGTGTTAACAACTTGACAGAAGTCAATCGAATAATAACGATGAGGGTACATGAAAATTACCTGGTACACTCGTTAAAGTAGATTCCTGGGCCCCATCCCCAAGTTTCAGATTCTGTAGCTGGGATTGGAGCCATAATTTGCATTTCTACAGGAAAGGAATGGACTTAAGGACTTTAAAATCTCAAACTCAAGGAGTAAGTGAAAGTCCAGAAATCTTCTGCGACAGCTGTGAAAGAACTGTGTACCTGTTGAAGATGAAATTTCTGAAATCCAAATCAAAGTCTAATCGTGTGAGTGGCTACATTACAAAGCAAGTGGAATTCCCACACTTACAGAGCCTGTTTTGTCAAAGTTGCGGTATTTACTGGGATGAGGACATCCAGAGGTTCTGTTGAAGATGCTGAGGACCTTGGTCTGCAAAGTCTCCTTTATCATTAGAAATAGGTGACCTTTGTCTCCTGTCTATTAAGATTAACTGCTCCTTGTTGTCCTGTATGTGAGGCCATTGTATTTCCTATGAATCTTGTTCCATCAAATCATTACATTTAAACCTCTAAACAAACTCAATTTTCAGCAAAATACAGAGGGGTCAGGTATTGAGTACAATAAGAAATGAAGTATCATTTTCATAAAAAGAAATGAGAGATTTTTTTTTCAGTTTATGTAAACAGAAACCTGGACATATCATGGAAATGTATCAGAGGGTCTTGAGTCAGATTGGAGTAGTTGAACATGTTTCTAATAGTTTGCTTTGTAGGCTGAAACCCGGCCTTTACATGGAACTGAAAATCTATAACTTACTTGGTACAGAGGAAACTATCCAAATCTTAGGCAGACAGATATGTTGGGCTAGGTTTACAATGCAAGTCGTACTCACCCACCTCTAACTAAACATCTGGGAAGACCCAAAAAGACACTTCCTTTACCAAGATATTGGAATGGAATGCAGATCACACATCTCAGAATGTCAGGAGCTGAGTGACAGCACTTACTTGAGACAAGGTGAGAAAAATGATCACAGTTGGCACCCCAAGTAAAAGAGATAATCAGAATGGTCTGACTTACAGAGATCTTCGATGTTTATTGTGTCTAAAAAAGACAAAACCCCCGAAGGTCCTGCTAAACTCATATAAGCTGCAATGCTACATAAAAAAGATGTAGTCTGTCAATGAATTCTCAAACCTAAGGCAGTACATAGGCCTACAGTCCCTTGAGTAAGAGGAAGGGCCTTGCTACTCAAATATTTAGGTTATAAATCCTCCTTCCAATTGTCCCTCAAAATATTTGGGCACCCAATTACCAAGGGTGAACAAATAATGAGGCCAGGGAAATCATCTGAGTTTTGTGAGATTTTTGGATATGGTTTTGAAGTAATGCTCATTCTTGGAGACCCAAAACTGTACTGTGTTCTACCACTGAAAGAAGGGCTTTAAATAAATCATGGGATGGAATTTGGCTTCAATTCCAACTTCTAGTCATACTAAAATTTGTGCCATGGTTATTTTTCCAGTTTCAAATAGGATAGTCAGAACAGACATGCTTAGCAGATTCCCTCCCTGCTTCCTTATCTGTAAAATAAGAGTTACAATAGTAGGAAAGGTCTAGAACAACTTCTGTGTATGGAAATAATAAAGTAAACGTCACATTTCATTCCTACAAGAAATGCAGAGATTAGGCCCACCAGTAAGGACTTGTTTATACAGAGTATGCAGATGCTGTACCAGATGTGGTTTCATTGTTGGAACAAAACAACATATTCCCTGGCATCTGGCACACAACTATTAATCTGCCAAATTCTGTCTTTTGTGTACATTGGCAAAGATATCTGAGGTAATTTCCTTCCACTGGCATCCTACTTTCTTACCTCAGGACTCAATCAACGCTCCAGCACACTAGCATTATATATCCTGTAAGGATATATAATGAACTCAACTGTCCCTCCGTTCCACAGAAACTCATGCTGTCTATTAAACACTGTCTAACCATAAGTAGTAACCACTCTCTATACCTTGGTAAAGTATTATTATGTATACAAAGGGGTAGGGGGAAATTCCGAAGTCTGTCCTTTCTGCCAGTTTCCTGAGGGTTTAGTGATATGTCAAGATATACATTTCAGGGGCTGGGAAGGTGGCTCAGTAGTAGAGCGCTTGCCTTGCATGCATGAGGCCCTGGGTTCGATTCCTCAGCACCACATAAGCAAAAAGAAAAAAGCCGGAAGTGGTGCTGTGGCTCAAGTGGTAGAGCACTAGCCTTGAGCTGAAGAGCTGAGGGACAGTGCCCAGGCCCAGAGTTCAGGCCCCACGACCAGACCCCTCCCCCCCAAAAAAAGATATACATTTCAAAGAAATGTCTGGTTCCTTCTACCACTAGGGAAAAAAGATGCAGAATCTTGCAGGTATTCTTGGATTTTGGAGAAAACATCCACCTCATTTGAGCATACAATTCTGATCCATTTCTCAAGTAACTTAAAAAACATGAATAAAAAGTCTTGAATAATAAACAATAACAAGAGAAATCTCAGGTGTTGCTGTGAAAGCTATGCTGCCACTTGACCTGTATGATTCACTGGCATTTTAAAGTGTCTGTAGCAGATAAGAATGCTGTCTGGCACATGGAAGTCTCCTTGTAGGTAGATCACAGCAAGACCCTTAGGACTTTGGAACAAAACTATACAGCATGAGGTCTTCATACAAACTTGGTTTAGGCTCACCTCTGAAGTCATGAAACTGCCAGTGTGCAGTGAATTTAGAATAATTTAAATAGAAGTTATCTTATAAAAAATAATTAAGCCTACTGGTCCTGAAGGCACAGTGAAGCACTATAAGAAATGATCTCCGATTTCCATACCTCCTATTATTTTTTACACTACATTGATCCATTTTCTTTGAACTTCATCTGTGGTCTCAATGAGGATTTGCTATGACCAGTTAACTAAAGAATGGAAATATTTGGGTCTGACTTCTGACTGTGCTGCATAATAGATTGATGGGCGAATGTGTTAAGAGTTGTAGCGTAACAGCCCTGCTCAACAATCTTGAAGGACATGCTGACAGTTTCCACTATGCAAAACTCTGAAGTCTGTATGTAGCTGCTCATGTGTTGAAGGAGACACATCAGAGCAGCAGAAATGTTCTCATTCATAGATAGTGCTGAGTAGGCTTGGCTGACTAGGAAGTGTTCACCTAATAACCTCAGAGAAGGAGCTTAATCATCAGCTTAGTAATCAGTCAAATGAAATAACTCATATCATAAAGATCCTTCAATCTCTTCATTTAATCCCAACTGCCCTTCACCCAAGGGGTCACAAATAGGGCCAATGTAGAGGGACACATGCTGTGCATGTGTTGAAGCAACAAGGAACTTCTACTTACCCAAATCAACGTAGCTACAGGACCTGAGTACTCAATGTCACAACATATTGACCCAAATTCCACTTGCTCGGTACAGCATGGTCTCCTGGGGACAGCAGCCATCCATCTGGCCATCCATCTGGTGGCTTGTTGATTACAAGGACTATGTCCATTATTTTAGAGACTTTGTTCTAATTGGAGTGCGACCATATCCTGAATAATTTTGTCAAATTAAGTCATCAAGCATGAGGTCAGTATGCAGTATCCTGTCCTCCTTTGTCTCATGCTATGTCCTACATGTAATAGAGAATTAGAATCACTCTGATCATAGCTATAATTTTGTAATAGAAAGTGGAAAATCAAAACTGAAACATTTAGAATACTGTTTTAAAAAACAGGCAAATCAAAATATTTAATACTCAAGGACGTTTTATTCTTAAAGAGAATAACCTACTTTCTCCTAATTTATTTTCTTAGGAACTATATTGCCCAAAAAACTTGCCTAGGGTCACACAAGTAATAACAGGTAAAGCTTAGATTTAAAACTAGGCAGTCTGGGGCTGGGAAGGTGGCTCAGTGGTAGATCGTTTGCCTTGCATGCCTGAGGCCCTGGGTTCGATTCCTCAGCACCACATAAGCAAAAAGAAAAAAGCCGGAAGTGGTGCTGTGGCTCAAGTGGTAGAGCGCTAGCCTTGAGCTGAAG